GTTTAGCAAGTATTTTAATGGCCAGCAGGTGCTCTGAATGATCCCAGTCAAGCAGAAGAGTAGTGGAGAGTCACACAAACTAATGAGAAAAATAAATTAAAATAGCAGGAAATACATAGACTGCTACACCCTGTGTGAAAAACCTCATAAACAACTGGTTGAGCCGCCCTTGTGGCGGCAACTGCAATCAAGCATTGCCAATACCTGGCGCTTCCACATCGCTGTGGAGGAGTTTTGGCCCACTCTTCTCTACAGAATTTTAATTCAGCCATGCTGGAGGGTTTGAGCATGAACGGTCTGTTTAACTTTTTTTTTTTTTTTTTTTTTGTGGACTTGCTGGTGCGTTTTGAATCATTGTCCTGCCAGACAGAACCCAAGTGCGCTTCAGCTTGAGGTCACCAACAGATGGCCGGACATTCTCCTTCAGGATTTCTTGGTAGACAGCAGGATTCATGGTTCCATTTACCACAGCAAGTCTTCCAGGTCCTGAAGCAGCCGTAGACCATCACGCTACCGCCACCATATTTTACTGTTGCTGTGACGTTCCTTTTCTGAAACGCTGTTACTTTTACACAAGATGTAATGAGACACACACCTTCCAAAAAGTTTTGTCTCGTCAGTCCACAAAATATTGTGCCAAAAGTCCTGTTTTGGTAAATGTGAGATGAGCCTTTAGTTATTTTTGCTCCGCAGTGGTTTTCTCCTTGGAACCATTTCTGCACTTCTTGTTGATGAGCACTGACCTTAACTGAGGAAAGTGAGGCCTGCAGTTCTTCAGATGATCTTCTGGATGAGTTGTTGATGCGCTCTTGGAATCATTTGAGTAAGTCGGCCTCTCCTGGGAAGGTTCACCTGTTCTCCATTTGTGGATAAAGGCTCTCCCCGTGGTTCGCTGGAGACCCAAAGCCTTAGAAATAGCTTTGTAACCCTTTCAGACTGACTGATGTCAACGACTTTGTTTCTCATCTGTTCTTGAATTCCTTTAGATTGTTGGATGATGTGTTGCTTTTTGAGATCTTTTCGCCTGCTTCACTTTTTCAACCAGGTGATATTTAAGTGATTTCTGGCAGTAATCAGGCCTGGATATGGCTGGTGTGAAACTAAATCCAGCTTACCAAAAATGTTGGTTAATCATAGTTCGTGGTTTGGCAATTACTTTTTCACACAGACCCAGGTAGGGTTGGATAGCTTTTGCCTCTTAATAAATAAAATCATCTTTTAAAAACTGAACTCTTGTATTTACTCAGGTTCCGTTTGTCTAATATAGAAAATAAAGTTTGATGGTCTGAACCATTTCAGTGTGACAAAACAGAATAACTACTAAACTAATAAATCAGGAAAATCACTTTTTCACAGCACTGTAAATTAAAGCTGCAACGATTAGTCGATTCATCCATTAGTTGTATCAGGTATTAAATCAATCACCAACTATTTTGATCATCGATTAATTGTTTTGAGTCCTTTTTTTTTTTTTTAAGATCAAACATCCTGATTTTAGCCTCTTAAATGTGAATATTTTTTTGTTTCTTTTACTCCTGTGACTTTAAACTGAATCATATGGTTGTTGAGAAAACAAGACATTTGAGACGCCATCTTGGGCTTTGGGAAACACTGATCGACATTTTTCAAAATTTACTGGACCAAACAATTAATTGATTAATCTAGAAAATAACCGACAGATTAATTTATAATGTAAATACTGGTTAGTTGCAGCCCTGCTGTATCTGCAGAGACACCATGGTACAGTAAGTTTAAAGGAAAAGTAAAATCCACAGCAGAAACAGGTTTGTAGATTTTCGATGTGTGCTGCAGCTGTTTCCTGCTGTAATTTACACTTTTTTGTTTTTGTGTTTCTGTCGCAGGGAGGAGAAAGCAGAAGGCAGCCAAAGAGAGGGCTGGCATGGCAAAGGTGAGACCAGTCTCTGAACACTTCAGCGAAGCAATCACCTGTCAATCAATTCACAACAAATCAGTGTGCTGCACAGGGGTAGCGACGCAACTAAGGATTATTTTCGTAGCAGACTAATCTGTTAATTACATATTCAACTAGTCACAATTATGTTTGTGACCCCCTAACCCTAATTAAACCATTTAACTAATTAAATATCTTTCAAGTGAATTACTGATCTCCAACACACAGCCTAACAAGCTAACGTTAGCATTAAGTGAACAAGGTTTACTATTCAGAATGAACACCAGGATCAAGCTGCTTTTTTTCTGGCTTCTCATTGGATGGTGGCGTTTGATGGATGAGCTGAGTGGCTCCTTGCTCCCAGCATGCAGCTGAAAAACCAGAGAGCAGACGTGTCAGATGTACTTCCTGTGACTAAATGTTGTGTCCTGCAGCTCCCGGACCTGAAGGACGCTGAGGCGGTGCAGAAGTTCTTCCTGGAGGAGATCCAACTGGGGGAGGAGCTGCTGGCTCAGGGTAACACCTCCACACAGTCTGATGTTCCAGGTCAGAGTCCTTACGCTGGTCTCTGTGGGGTCTCTAAGAGTCTTGTGTGTTTGGCTCCACAGGAGACTATGAGAAAGGTGTGGACCACCTGACCAACGCCATCGCAGTGTGCGGTCAACCTCAGCAGCTGCTGCAGGTGCTGCAGCAGACTCTGCCGCCGCCCGTCTTCCAGATGCTGCTCACCAAACTGCCCAGCATCAGCCAGGTAACCTTGTCCCCCGATCCTTTATTTAGATCCACATCAGCTCCCTAACTGGTCCAGGATCAGCCTGGTTGTCCTGATTTCCCCCGTAACTGCTCCAGGATCAGTCAAGTAGCCCCTCCCCCCACACCTCTCTAAGTAGTCCAGAATCAGCTGTGTAGCCTCCCCATCTCCCTATCTGGTCTAAGGTGATCCAGGTAGCCACCATCTTCACCCTGGTTGGTTACTCCCACCATTCACTCTGTCATGTGTTCATTATCTGAGCTCTGAGTGTTTGTCTTCTGCTCCTGCAGCGGATCGTGAACGCACAGAGTCTGAGCGAGGACGATATAGAATGAGAGGGTCGACAGGAAATAACCCCATCCTCCTCCCCCTCTTCATCATCCCCCCTCTTCCTCTCTACGACCTGCCAACACCTCGGCCTCCATCACTCCGGCCGACGTCCATCACTTCCCATCAAGGCGTCCTGAAGGGAATCAGTTTTCTATCCCTGCTTCAGCCAGTGTTTGTTTCTAACTGAAATTACCCGTTCTGGGGTATTAAGGGTCTCTCGAGAAACACAAGCGCCCGTCCCTGTTCCCCCGCCATCAGCTTTGTACTAATTGACCGGACCGGTGGTTGTTGACGACGTGAATGGGCTTCTTCCGCTCCAGGTTTCCACCGTGTCCGAACCGTCTTCGTGGTCGTTATATCACAATAGGAAGTTAGAGGAAGCTTCTGTCGGCGCCGACGCTTCACAGTATTTATTGTTTTGTTATCAGTCGTCTTTCTGTTTCGCTCTTGACCTGGAAACACTTTCGGAAAGTGATGAAATGTTCTGTTCGTCTTAAAGAGGACGGCCCTCTTTAGGACAAAATAAATAAATAAGAATGTGAAGAAAGTACGAGGTTGTCTTTTGAGTTTATTTTACTTGTAGTCTGGGGCTGGATCAACAGGTACGGTGAAAACCTGCTGGACAGCAACTAAGTATATTTACTCAAATATTATTTTGAGGTACTTGACTTGAGTATTTTCTTCTTCTACTCCACCACATCTCAGATATTGTAATTTTTAACTTCACTATCTGAAAGCTTCAGTTACTTTACAAATTAAAATGTTTACACACAAACACATGAAGAGTTTATAAACTACGATCTTTTGTTATAATATACAGTACAGCTGAAACGAAACTATTGATGGTTTAAGTCGTTTTTCATGTAAAAACATTTCATGGCTCAAGCTTTGCTGCTTATTTTAATGTTGAGCTTTGTGCTGTTGGTTAGACAAAGCGAGCACTATCAAGGCGTCACTTTGGGCTCTGGGTAACTGACAGCATTTCTCAACAACTACTGTAAAATCCTGCTTTTACATTTATACAAAATAATGCATGCATGTAATAATAATCTAACATAGCAAATTGGTCACACTTTACAGCATTGAGGACTTTTAATACCTTAAGTACATTTACCTTACAAACTTTTACTTATCTAGCCATATTTACAATGCAGTATTTTTACACGGTGGTATTGGTACTAAAGGATCTGAATACTTCGCCCAACACTGTGACTCAAAAGGCTGAAGTCCAAGTGAAGTCACAAGTCATTGGTGTTAAAATCAAAGTCAGTCTTTTTTGATTTTGTCTAATCTAAAGTCATCATATTTGTGACTTGAGTCAAAGTTACGTGCCAGTTTTTCCAGGCGGCTCAATCATTTTGATCAGAACTTAAGCAAAGATTATACTTTCTGAGTACGTGAGGGGCCATGTGAGGGAAAAAACCCATCAGGTCATCAGAGTGGGTACGCGTAGGCTCTGCGCAGACGTCCCTGTGCCTCCCGTTTTTCATGACTGCGCTGACCGTCTTCACCACCAGCGCACCAACCAATCTACTGCGCATGTGTCCGCCAAGCTGACTCCACAAATAGTCGACGTCCGCTCCAGAGTATAGTCGAGGTGTTAGATGTTGGTGTCAGTGTCAATACAGGTTTACTATAACTGATGTGATGACATTTTGGGTGAGGTGTGTGTATTTGCTGCCTTGCAGAGTGATACCGCGTCTGGATGGTGAATATGAAGCGGCAGCCAGGAAACAGTTAGCTTAGTATGAAGGCTAAGCAGGTAAAACTGCTCACCTGGCTCTGTCTGAAGTTTAAAAACACACCTGCCAACACCTCTACAGCTGAGCAACACAAACGGAGCTGATCACTCAGCACCAGATTTTATGTCAATCTACTGAGAGACATGACCCCAACACATGAACTTGGTTCAAATGTGTTGATTTGCATTCAGACAGATTATACAAAATGACTTAGATGATGTGATTTCCCAACACTACCATCTTCGTAGAATAAATTCTGACAGCATTAAAGATAAGGTTTTATTTGGACACAACAACAGGAGACGACATTACAAAAGTTAAACTTGATCAGCTGGGTTACAGAGATTAATCTTGGTCAGTTTGTAGAACTTTTGTTCCCCTTCTGTATTAGAGAAGTTAAAACTGACTTGACAATGTCCGGAGAGTAAAACTAAGAACCTCCTTTTAAGATCTGGAACATGGGCCGATGTTCTTCACGTTCTAGATAACTGGAAAAATCCTCAGTGCAAAAGCTGGATCACTGCGGATCACAAAGAGTCCTGGAGCCCTTTTTATTTGGATCAGAGACGTCAGATGTGAACCTTCTTCTTCGGCTTCACTTTCTTCTTCAGTCCTTTCTTCTTCGCCTTCTTGGTCGGATCCACCATCTCGCCTGTGAAGGACGTTGAGCTTTTGCTCGACCTCTGCTGGTTTCCAGAGAATTTCTGTTGAGACTTGAAACCTCCCCGACCGCCTCCTCTCTCCCGCCCCTGGCCCCTCATAGGGCCCTTCATGGGGCCCCTGCCGGTCCTCCCTGCGCTGTCAGTTTTTGTCTTCTGCTTCTCCTTCTTCACCGACCTCTTCACCCGGATGGACCTGCCCTCCAGTTTGGAGCCGTCCAGTTTCAGAGCCAGCTGCACCGAGTCGGCGCTCTGCGACAGGAAGACAAACCACCAGAAACCGTTTAGAATTCATCTCCACCCTTCAAATAAAAACCACGTACAAAAGGTCAGTCAGAAAACATTCTTTACGCACTCACCATACAGATACCTAACTGACAAGTCTACACGCCATATGGACATTTCTTATATTCATAGACAGATATTTCTAGTTCCTGTCTCATATGGACGCATGGTCAAGACCCGTCGGCATCAGTTTCAGTTTCAAACACTGGGATCGCTGTAGCGCCATGCATTTGCATTTCTTTATTTAGCTGTACATGTCAGAGGTCGCACGGGTTTGGGGTTAAGTGTCTTGCTCAGGGACACATTGGTGTTTCACAGTGGATTTGAACCCGGGTCTCTCACATCAAAGACATGTGTCTTATCCGCTCCCCCATCACCTCCCACTATAGTTCAACGCACTGGGAAACGCCCTTAGAGTCACTTTTGAACGCTAAAGGTAGGTGTAGGATATTTAACAGGGAAGTCTGAGTAAGGAGGCGGTTAAGTTACTAAGTTGCGTTACTTAACTTAGTGAAGTTTACTGACATATGTAGTTATTTTAACCCAAACCATGCTCTTCCCCTAAACTTAACCAAATAGCTTTGTTTTACAATGATAACAAATAACATTTGTTTTGAAAGTCTAACCGAATGTTGCATACTTGACCATGGAGCCCTAAAAACACGCCAACCGGTCTTGACCAAGCGTCTATACGCGATGAGTCGGGAGTGTGATTATATAACCTGCATGGTTTTAATATCATGTGACTTGGTGACGTAAGTCAGCGCTGCGAGGGTGATCCAGCAGTGTCAGCTCGTTAGCGTGCCAAATGGAAACGTGACTGTCTCTGGTTTGGGCGTGATAATCTGGAGGTCAGAGGTCAAGGTGAAGAGGTGCGCAGCGTTTGAAGTCGTCCTACCTCAAACAGGACGTAGCCGAATCCTTTTCCCAGTCCAGAGTTCTGGTCTCGCACCAGTCGTACAGCCTCCACTGCGCCACATTCCTCAAAATGGCGGCGAAAAGCCAGTTCATTTATCTCTAAACACACAGAGGGTTAACGTCAGCACACAGCGACAAACACTCACAGTCCGTCATCAGCGTTAAGACTGCGGCTCACCGAAGGAGAGGTTCCCCACGAAGACGGAGCGCTTGTGATCGTGCTGCAAGACAAGAACCAGGTCCCCACATGAATATTACACAACTCTTTTCAGCAGATTTAAAATACCGATCACCGTGACCATGCTTACCGATGAGTTGTCCGTCACTCTGTCCACCCGGATGTGAAAGTCTCTCTCGATCTCCATGCCGTTCCTGTCAGGAGGGACAAACAGAAGCTTGTTGGTGGTTAGATAAACACGACGGCGTGTTCATGGACATCGGTGAACGAGCGGCTGACCTCTCTAACGCCCTGGCCACTCCTTCCTCGTCTTTAAACACCACATAGGCGTTCATGCTCTGCTTTTTGGGATGAACTTTGCGTCTGTGAAGCAAAAAAACAAAAGCTTGTTTAAGTAAAGAGAAGATCAGAGTTGAAGTTTTGGAAATGTTGGACTGGAAACTTACTGTATCGCTGCGACTTTGCGCGACATGGCGGGATCCTCTCTGACCTGCAGGGAGCAAACACATCACGTGACCGTTAGATGAGCTGATGAGGACAGGACGCAGTTACAAAACTCTGAATGCATTTAAGTGAATGAGAAAACCTGCAAAACCTTTTTCAGCATGTCAGAGTCCATGAAGTAAATACGTGCAATAAAATGCAGGAAACAAGAAAGGTGTAGTAGCCTGTACTGGACTCAAGGTTTGCACCGCCCCAACGCTCGAACGTTTTAAATCACTGTTAAAAACGCATTTCCTTCGAGTTAAGTTTGTTATTATTCCTTATTTTATTGCTGTACTTTTACTGTGTGAGTAGTGTCTTGTTGTTGTATTTAACCTGTGAAGCACCTTGGCCAACCTTGGTTGTTTTAAGTGTGCTATATAAATAAAATTGATATTGCAGTGTTCTTACAGAGGGTCAAAGAGCTGTCACACCAACATTTAAACTGCCACACTTCACAGGAAACCAACAGTCAACAAACCAGAACACCACTTGTTTTGTTGACCTTCAAGTGAATGTGCTACACATGTCAGAGGTCGCACGCCTCTGGAGGAACTAGGGGTTAAGTGTCTTGCTCAGGGACACAATGGTGGATGTGTTACAGTGGGAATCGAACCCAGGTCTCCCACACCAAAGGCAAGCATCTTATCCATGCACCATCACCAACCTACCAAGTGTAATAAAATACTGACAACTCTAAACATTCATAAAACAGCTACTTTGCATCATTTGTCACCATTGATGAACCCCACAAAGAATGTCTCAGTTTTAAACAGTACTTGGAGGTGCATGCAGTTCAACACCAGACCTTCTGTTGTTCAAGTCAGCTGTTTTCCACGTTCTTTCCACAGCTGGAAGTTTTGTTTTTATTGTGTCACAGTCTAAGATGCAAAGAACATTGTCGTCCGTTGTAAACTCTGTGTGACCAGCTAAAAGCTTTCAACCACAAACATTTCTACATCTGATTTACTGAAGCATCTAAAGCAGCACAGCAACATCAGAATCAGCTTTATTGCCAGGTATGTGTACACATACGAGGAATTTGACTCAGGATTGGACATTGCTCATGATGTGCTTACTCGTACAAAAATACCATAACACAATAATAATAAAATAAAATCAGACACAAACTACAGTATAGACAACACTAACATACACACTATGAACAAAACAATATAGACATATTGACAAATAATGCATACATGTACACATGTACACAGTGTGATAGAGCATAGTGCAAAGGATGCTGGAAATAATAAACATAAATAAATAAATAACTAAATAAAGACCTATGACATTATGACCTGAGGTAGGTGTATTGGTATATAGTATATACAATATGACATAGTATGAACAGCGCTGAAATAGAGAATGGTGAATAAATAAATAATAAGTGGAAACCAGTAAACAGGTGGCTGATTAGAGGCAGAGTTACTGGGTTATTGCACAGGAATTGTTCCTGACACTGTGAGTCAGAAATCAGCTGTTCATCAGAGTGATGGCTTGTGGGAAAAAACTGTCCCTGAGTCTGTTGGTTTTGGCGTACAGTGCTCTGTAGCGCCTACCAGAGGGGAGAAGTTTGAAGTCCTGAATGGAGGGCAGGTTGCCACCGATTATTTTTTCTGCAGTCCTGATTGTCCGTTGTAGTCTGCTCCTGTCCTCCAAACCAGACAGTGATGGAGGTGCAGAGAACAGACTGGATGATGGCTGTGTAGAACTGGATCAGCAGCTCCTTAGGCAGGTTGAGCTTCCTGAGCTGACGCAGGAAGTACACCCTCTGCTGGGCCTTCTTCATGATGGTGTCAGTGTTGGGCTCCTACTTCAGGTCCTGGGATATAGTGGAACCCAGAAACCTGAAGGATTCCACAGCAGACACAGGGCTGTTGAGTATGGTGATGGGGGGCAGAGTTGGGGGGGCTCCTCCTTAAGTCCACAATCATCTCCACAGTTTTGAGCGTGTTAAGCTCCAGGTTGTTCTGACCGCACCAGAGAGCCAGCTGATCGACCTCCCGTCTGTAGGCTGACTCGTCACCGTCCCGGATGAGGCCGATGACCGTTGTGTCATCAGCGAACTTCAGGAGTTTGACAGATGGGTCTCTTGAGGTGCAGTCGTTGGTGTAGAGGGAGAAGAGCATACCCCTGGGGGGCGCCAGTGCTGATAGTACGGGTGCTGGATGTGATGTTTCCCAGCCTCACCTGCTGACTCCTGTCAGTCAGGAGGAGGCTGGCACAGTGAGCTGGGTGAGTTTGGTGCTGAGGATGTCCGGGATGACTGTGGAGCGTTCGAAGCAGGAGGGAACTTCACACAGCTCCAGTGATTTGTTGAAGATTTGAGTGAAGATGGGGGCCAGCTGGTCTGCACAGATTTTCAGGCAGGATGGTCAGACACCGTCAGGTCCAGGAGCCTTCCTGATCTTCTACCTTTGGAAGAGGTGGCTCACGTCCTCTTCACAGATCTTGAGTGCAGGTGAGAGGGCAGAGGGGGAAGGTGACTGTTTGAAGATGGTGTTGGAGTGGGGGAGAGGTGTGACAAACCTACAGTAGAAACCATTCAGCTCGTCTGCCAGTCGTTGAGTACCAGCAGTGTTGGGGGATGGTCTCTTGTAAGTTTGTGAGTGTTGCAGGGTCGTTGGCTGAAAAGCTGTTATTTAGCTTTTCAGCGTAGCACCTCTTTGCAGCTTTGACCTCTTTAGTCAGAGTGTTCCTGGCCTGGTTGTACAGGACTCTGTCCCCACTTCTGAAGGCCTCTTCCTTGGTCTGACGAATCTGCGAACGTTTGATGTTCTGATAAAACTCTGAATACTGCTTTGATAAATGTGCAGAAAAACAGGAGTCCGAAAGTCGGGGGTGCTGTATATCCAGAGCCTTTACAGGACAGCATCACCTGGTCTGAGGGGCTGCAGTGTTTTCAGTTTGACTCTTGTTGTTCCAGTAAAGTGGATTCATTTGTAAAATGAGCTGCTGAACACGCTGTCCGTCACTTTTTAAGGTTGGGGATAGTGGATAGAGATAGAGAGCGGGTTGCCCGTTAATTGAAAAGTCGGCGGTCCAATCCCCAGCTCCTTCAGGCTCCATGTCGAAGTGTCCTTGGGCAAGATACTGAACCCCGAATTGCCCCTAGCAGCTGTTCCACCAGTGTATGAATGTGTTTGACTGGTAAATGCAGATGTAGTGTAAAAGCGCTTTGAGTGGTCGAAAAGACTAGAAAGGCGCTATACAAATACAGAGCATCTGATAGTAATAGAGTTATGTAATGACTTTTATCACTCAGTAATAAGTAAAGTAATATTATGACTTTTATTTTAGAGTAATAAGTAAAAATAACAATTCCTCAGTAACTTGCCCGACACTGTTTCTGAGGGAACTGTTCCGGTGGCGACGAAGCCAATACGTTTGCTTGATGATAGCTAACTCTTTTCCCTCTTCAGTAACTACTAGTAACAAACAATCCTGAGAACAAAATGTCAGGGAGGATAAACGGCTCGGTTCAGAGAAACAGGAAGAAGCTCTGAGAGCTGTTCAGACTGATTCGCCCTGGCATTCTCCCCCCTTAGCTCATGTGCTGTTCAGAACCAGACTGTTTTCTGGGATGTTTGTGTGTTGTATTTTTTACCACAGAGCGAAACCGGATGGACTCGATGGGTCCTTTATCCCTGAAGAGGCTCTGCAGGGTCTGGGAAGAAGAAGCAAACAAAACAACGTGTTGCTGAAAAATCCAGGAAATAACAAATCAAACGTTTTAAAGTCAGCTGTGAGGGCTGAGCTGAGGGAGACTGAGTCGATATCACAGCGCTTTCATTTGCCGAAAGAAATCCTGGTTGGATACGAATTCATTAAGGACTTTAACAGCTTTGCTGTCCTTTTTTTGTAGCTGTATGTTACCCGTTTCTGTGTCTGAACATTGAGAGCAACGTAAAGCCAAAGTCATATCTGGCCAACAAAACTGATTCTGATTTATGATCAGGCATCAATGTCAGGACAGAGACAGCGATCTTAAGAACTAATAGATTTTAAAACTGAATGTCGTGTAGAAAGAAGTTTTCTAATCAAGGCTGCCTTTACACCGATACTACTGTGCAACTGCAGAGCACCGCGGCGTTCTCGACGCAGAACTATAAATTGTCTTTTAAGGGTGCTTTCACACCTGCCTTGTTTAGTTCAGTTGAATGGCACTAGAGTTCGTTTCCCCCTCTGTGCGGGTCGTTTGGCAGGTGTGAACGCAGCAGTCGCACTCGGGTGCGCAACAAAAGCGAACCATTCAAACCACCACCCCTTTCAAACGAACTCTGGTGTGGTTCGTTTGTGGTGTGAAAGCAAACGAACCAACCACTGGATTTTATGATAGCAGACATGTGATAGGAGCATTATTTCCAAAGCTAAGCCACCACTAATAAATCCATCTGCTGACGAAATGTGTTCGATCTTATAATTGATCTTTATAAGCCATGCTGTGTTTATGAAAATCATCTGGTAACGTATACTTGTCAGCTGATTATTGGGTTAATATCTGTTAAGCAGACCCTCATCAGTTCAGCTCTCTCTCTAACACGCTGCCAGGACATTTTTCTGTTTGTAGATGAAAGACGTCCAGACGCACAGAAAACCCAGGGAGTGGAATCATCTTCCTTTTTGTTGCTGCAGTGACTTTGTTGTGCTTATTCTTTTCGGTCTGAGTAATTCTTTCTACCTGCCAGGCTGTGATAAATGACTCAATTAACTGATTCCATTTCTGTTCATTAGTTTTCTTTAACAACTACTCAATTGAAAAAATTGTTTCAGCGCGAAGATCTCTGCTCAGCCGCGTGGTTTTTTCTCCCATCAGAAATCAAACTCTAAACACTGACATCTTCACTAATTAAAGAAATGATTTTCAGTGAGGAAAGAAGAGATAAGAAGAGCGGCTGAGGTTCTTTGTGGTAATTGATCCTTTAAATTCTCTCTGTACCTTCTTGGTGCAGCCGACGGGCAGGTTGCCTACGAACACCGTCCTCTTCCTCTTCATCACCTCCTCCACTTTTCTGGCTTTCAGCTTCTGTCTCTTCAACACCCACTGCTCCACGTCGTTTCTCTCTTCGTCCGGTTCCGGAGCTTTCCTCTTCTTCTTCGCCGGCTTGTCTCCTAGCTCGTCCTCGTCTGCGTTCTGTAAACTGCTCTCTCTGAAATCAGCGAACAGAACGAGGATGGAGAGAGAGATGAGGGGAGAGGAAGTGATGTACAGTATTACGTACTGATGCAAAGAAGAAATAACAGGGGGAAGAGAAGGAAACAGAATAAGGAGGAAAGAAAAGAAGTGAAAGCTCATCCTAACAGGACAGCTGCGTGGATTCATAACGTCCACCTGTTTTCCAGCTTCTGGTCGGCTTCGGATTTCTCCTTCAGCGCCTTCTTCTTCTTCTTCTGACTGAGTTGACCTGTGGCGTCTGGAGTTTCCTTCTGCAGCTCCTTTTCTTCTGAGCTCTTCTGAACAGGCTGCAGCAACAAAAACACAACCAGCCACACAGGACACGGTAACGTTTAAACAGTAAACCTGCTGATCACACCAGCAGTGAACCTTTCTCCTAACGAGTCCGGTGTCCATTGTTGTCCAGAAACTATTAAACCCATCAGTGCGCCTCTCTGCAGCACCGGGTCACATGTTCCTTCATCACCATGAACACACACTGTAGTTTATTCTGACCCTGTCCCACACACTGTCCTGCTGCCCCAAATAAGAAGAATCTTTATTTAAGTGCTTTCACACGTGCAAAGACAATAAAACAGATAACAAGAGCCACAGTTCAAGTAAGAAGACACTAAATAAATTAAAATACAGTTAAAATCAGGGAAGGCTCTCCAATAAAAGTCTGTTTTTAAGAAGAGATTAAAAAGAGTTCACTGACTCCCCCGCCCTGATTTCCTCAGGCAGGCTGTTCCAGAGCCTCGGGGCCCCGTCTGCAAACTGTCCGGGCAAGGGCTGGGGCGTATGGGACTAAAAGGTCAGAGATAAACCAGGGCGAGCTTTAAAAGTGATCAATAAGTGTAAAGTCTATTCTACTGGGAGTCTTTGTTCTGGTTCTGCAGCCTGGCAGCTGAGTTCTGGACAGTCTGGATTCTGGAGCAGTTTGAAAAGGCTGCTGCAGTAATCCAGGCGAGACGAAGGCGTGTAAAATCGTCTCAGTGTCCTTAAACGTTAACATTACCAAAAGTTTTGATATATTTCTAAGAAGTTAAAAACACAAGCTTTGCGATGTGCTGCTCAGAACTTCAATGACTGTCCCACTAGAGATCCACATGTGGATTCATCCGCCGCTGAAAGTAGTCCCCAGCAGATGCTCTGTTCCCTCCTGTCTGTCTGATACGGCGAGCAGCTGCTTTTCAAAAAGGTAAACTATATGTACTCGTGTGTGCTTTACCTCGGGTGCAGGCCGAAACAGAACAGGTGCAGCCGGTGCAGCGGTGCTGAATAAAGCCGACAGCGATCCGGAGGCTGCCTTTTTCTTCTTGAACAGACTTCCTGACACCTGACCGACCACGTAGTCAGCTGACTGTCCCGGCGACGCCTCCTCACTGAGGACAGAAACACAGAGATGAAGGAGGAACAGCAGCCAGACAACACGACAGCGCTGCTAAACTAAAGAGGCTCAGAGATCATTATTTTAAACAAGTGCATGAGAAAATATTCTGTTCATGCCTTCTCAGCGGTGGCCCCGAGACTGTGGGATGAACGTCCCTTGGTGATCAGATCGTCTCCCACCACAGAAAGTCTGTTGTCTTTGAGTCTGTTTAGGGACACTGGTGTTTAATCTCTTATTTTTAACCGTCTTGTTTTTCTGTCTATTTGTTTTGTGTTATAAATTGATTGGCCTGTTTATGTTTTATTATTTATAGATAACTTCAGCACTGCACTTGTTGTTTTTGAATGTGCTTTATAAATAAAATTGATTGTCCCAGTTTACCCCTTTATTCTTGTGTGTCCCTCCCTTCAGGAGGGCGTCTCCCGCTCGCCAGGCCGTGGTCGGGTTCTTAACTAACTTGCCTGATTAACTAAAGGTTAAAGAAAGAAAAGTGAGCAAGGCTCAGTTCCCACCCAGCGGAGTGGTCCCTGAAGGCCTCGTGTTTGCTGTGTTCCTATTTAAAGCCTTAAAAGTGGGACCCTTATTTTATTTTTACCCTTGAAGCCGAAGCGTACTTGGAGTTTATTCTTAAATAAATAATTGCGTGTTTAATAAAATCATAGGACCCCAGCTCTTTCCTGCCATCGGGGGCCTCAGCAGGTCATTCTGCAATTTCAAAAATTTGATGTTTGATGAAATTAACTTTTACTACTTTGTGTCCAGAGGTGGATGAAGTACTCAAATCCTTTACTTAAGTAAAAGTACTGGTACGTCACTGTAAAAATACTACTAAAGTAAAAGTATGTCCAGGTATAATCAGGAAAATGTGCTTAAAGTATTAAATAAGTACTCACCGCAGAATGAAAAATGTGCCGTTATATTACTCACAGCATTAGATTATCACTCAGGCCTTAATGTAAAAGCAGGATTTTCTGATATTTTTTAAAATTAATCTGCTGATTATTTTCTCCATTAATAGACTGTAAATATTCTGAAAATAGTTAGAAATGTTGTCATGGTTACTAAGAGCCCAAAGTGATGCCTCGTTCTGTCAGTCTAAACCTCAAACTTATTTAAAATGTATTAAAATAATCAGAATCAGATTTATTGCCAGGGACGTTTTCACATAGGACTTTGCCTTGGTATAAATTGGTGCTTATAGTAAAAGAATAATATATAGAAATCTAAATATTTCAACAGGTAAAGCAGCTAAATATGTTTTACACGATCATCAAATTAGTTGCCAACTACATTTCTTTTAGTCAACCAGTCCTGTCAGCTGTTCTTGTATAAACTGTAGGAGTTTTCATTTATAACTAAACATCATATTTTATAAACTCTTCATGTGTTTTGTGTGTAGAAATGTGACTTTGTAAAGTACCTGAAGCTGAAGTAAACTTCTGCTGATTGAGGTCAGTGGTTTACAGTATAAACGTGTGTGATGCTTTGTGACTTTCCAGTGTGTTTAATAAGGAACACTGTTCTATATATAATATGGATTTAAAACAGTTTAATTAAATCTAAATGATCCTCTGCGTGCTTTCTGTCAGACTGCTGCTTTAAGTTGTTTAATGAATCTGTGATTAGAGAAATAACGCAGTTTGTCTTTAATCTAATAAAATGTGTAAACAAACCTCTGCGGAAGTTTCTTCTTCATGGTTTCTCCCCGCGCTGCTCCAACGCTGACTTCCGGTTTGTTATTTGTATTGAAACACTTAATTTCTCAGGTTAATTTAAACATTTAGACTCATTTCTACGAATTAAACTGCGATAACGTGAGAGTTAAAACACGTTCTCCTCCGCAGCAAACAGCCGTCCTACAGCGAATGGCTTCCTGAAGGGAACCCGGACCCTGCAGGCACAAAGGTTCCTCTTCTTTTTAGAGCGATTAACGTTGAATTTTTAACGGTTTAGTCGTAAATACAAAGTCAAATGTAAAATAGAGAATATTGTGCTGACCAGAGAGATCACAAAAGCCCTTATTCAAGTGATTAGGGCCTTATTGTACACACCATGGTAGCTGTAGCCTACATAGACTTTTCACAGTGTCACTTTTCAGAGAGGAAATGTAAATGTTAAAGATCTTCTCTAACCAAGAAATGTTTTCCCTCACCTCTAAAAGGAAATATATATATTGCAGGAATACACCTCTGTGACCTCCAGGAGAATTAGATGTGAATACCTAAGTTCCTCTGCACCTCATAAAGCTAAAGAAGAACATTTTAAAACAATGAAAAATATTTATTATCCCTGCATGAATTTCTATGCCTACAATTTAATATTGACTGTAATGAATGTGTATTCTGTAATACAGAAATAGAAACAATTAAATATCTAATGTTCTCCTGCAATGCATCCAAGTAATTTCGGAGGATTTTTACAATTGAATATTACAGAGTAACTTATAGTGATGTTAGATTGGGTCATATAATGGAAGAGGGAAAGTTGGAATTCAGTCTAGAGAAATATTTTTTACTCAACTGTAAATTTCTAAGAAACAACCTACAGTTCACTGATTTTTTGAAAGAGCTGTCTCTTTATTTAGATTCAATGAAGATAGTTTAATCTAAGGACACTTTAGACACTCATGTAATAGTTTGTGTTGTTTCTTTTTTCTTTTCCATTTCTGTCTTTTAGTTATTTGTTTATTTATTTCCATAAAACTAATTTTCATGTTCATGAAGTTTATACTTGCGCTTGTAATTTGCACCTTGTTTGTCCTTGCTCTGTCCTCACTGGACTATATTTTGTCTTTAAGTGGCTGTGACTGATTTGTATTACGCAAAATAAACAAATAAAAACATTGATTTTACACCATGAACCGAACACTTCTGAACTATTCTGAGACGGTGGGACCTGGAAAGACTCGCGCAAGGTGAGGCTGCTGAAGACAGTTTCCATTATGGCAAGACTGAGCACAGCAACCAGACACAAGGTGGCTATACTGCATCAGCAAGGTCTCTCCCAGGCAGACATTTCAAGGGGTTTCCAGATGTGCTGTCCAAGCTCTTGTGAAGAAGCACAAAGAAACAGGCAGCGTTGAGGACAGTAGATGCAGTGGTCAGCCAAAGAAACTTCCTGCAGCAGATGAAAGACACATCATACTAACTTCCCTTCACGGTCAGAAGATGTCCAGCTGTGCCATCAGCTCAGAGCTGCAGAAAACAGCTGGACCACCATCTACTGTCCGGAGAAGTTTGGTCAGAAGTGGCCTACGTGGGAGACATGGGGCCAAAAAAGCCTCCACGTTGAAAACAAGAAGAAGAAGTTTTATTTATATAGCGCCTTTCCAGAGCTCAAGGTCGCTTTACAAGGATAAATTTACACACTGACACACAACTTACAATCACATAGGATACATATAGTCACATTTAAACAAAATACATGTTAAATAGATATGTTTTTAACTGTGTCTTGAATGTAGCCACAGATGAAATATTTCGAAGTGAAAGGGGCAGTGAATTCCATAATTTTGGAGCATTAACACTAAATGACCTACTGTAACTGAAACGAGGGATGGACAATAAACCAAGTTCAGTTGATCTGAGAGACCATGCAGGGCGGTAGGTGAAAAGTAGATGAGACAAATATGGGGGTGCAAGACCATTTAATGCCTTAAATGTTAGAAACAATACCTTAAAGTGGATACGTGATGCCACGGGTAGCAAGTGAAGGTAATGTGAGCAGAACGCCTGGTGGAGGTGAGAACTCTTGCTGCTGAGTTTTGAACATACTGTAATCTTGCAATAAGTTTTTTGGGAAGACCAAGAAATAAAGCATTGCAATAATCCAGACGTGATGTGATTAATGCATGGATTAAGATTTCAGCGTCAGCTAAAGTGAGAGAAGATCTTAGACGAGCAATATTCCGAAGATGAAAGAAAGAGTTTTTCACAAGAAAAGAAATATGAGAGCCAAAAGATAGAGTTGAGTCGAATAAGACACAGAGGTTATGAGTCAGTGATGAAGGCTTAATATGGAAACCATCAATATAGAAGGACTGGTCCATCCTTTTGATTGAGGCAGCAGAGCCGATCACTAATATCTCAGTTTTATTGTCATTTAATTTGAGGAAGTTAAGGGACATCCAATGCTTGATGTCCCTGATACACACAGTGAGTGGGTCAGGCAGGGATGGCCTATCAGAGCTGGTGGTGAAATAAATTTGGATGTCATCAGCATAGCAATGGAATTGAAGTCCATGCCTGCGTATGATGTTACCAAGTGGGTGTATATAGATGATGAACAATAGTGGACCAAGAACTGAACCTTGAGGAACACCCTGTGTAAGTGAAATAGTGGCAGAATTATGACCTTGTATGCTGATATAATACTTTCTGTCGCTGATATAGGAAATAAGCCAGGAAAGAGCGGAACCAGTGATGCCGATATCAGAAAGCCGAGAAATAAGTAGTTGATCGCAGACTGTGTCAAAAGCAGCGCTTAGATCGAGGAGCATCAAGATGTTTATCAACCCTGAATCCTTGGACAAAATAATGTCGTTAACCACACGCAGAAGAGCAGTTTCAGTGCTGTGAGATGGACGAAAACCTGACTGAAAAGGTCAAAAAAGACCATTTATATCCAAGGCCAAGAGGCAAAACTATGCACAGTAAAAATGGCAGCAGATTGATTGATTCCTTCTGCAGCAGGACAACGACCCCAAACATACAGCGAAAGTCATATCTTCAATTTAAAGAAGAACGAGAGGTGCTGATCTCAACATCATGGAGTCTGTCTGGGATCACAGGAAGAGAGAGAAGAAACTGAGGCGGCCTGAATCCACAGAAGGACTGAGGGGGGTTCTCCAAGAGGTTTGGGCCGACCTGCCCGCAGAGCTCCTTCAGAAACTATGTGCAAGTGAACCCAGAAGAACTGAGGCAGAGGGTGGTCACACCAGATATCTCTTCTGTTCACTCACTTTGCATTTCGTTAATTGATAATATGTTTTATTAATGTGTCTGTTTTTGAAAGCACCTGCCTAAAACATCTGCACAGTATGTCCATCCTGTTGTTGTTCTGATGTACTTTACAAACTCTGTGTTCACGCCTGCCTTCATTTCTTTAGAAGCAGGTTTGAATGCAAAACACAAAGTATCAAACTAAAAGTCACGCAGGTCATTGTTGTCATGCAGCGTTCAAAGGTAAAATTTCTGACATGAGCTTTTTTATTTTGTAAAGAAAACTTGAATTGTAACAAAGTAACACGCTGATTGTGCAGCAGCTTTGAACTGCAGGTGAACAGTATACTGTGGTTACAACAGTTATACATTTCACTTCATCTGCTTCTCTCCTTCTCTTCAATACAATTTTGCCATGTAAGAAATCTAAATATTGTATTGTGTAATAAAGAGTTAACCAAGAATAAAAATCATAGAAAATAAAAAAAATTGGTATAAAGAAGATGTGGATGACTAGGAATGATGAAAATGCTCACAAAGTTACTAACTTCATACCTTTTTACTTGCTGTTTGTGCTGACCTACAGTACAGTTTTTATCAATTGCTTAAACACATTTCTTGATTATGCCTCCTTTTTTTCTAAACTAAACACAAATCCATATTTTTGTTATCTCCAACACACTCTGCTTCCTTGATGTTTATTGCAACAACAACATTTTTACATGAAGGTGAACTGTTAACCACCATTTTAACATGAAAATGAATCAGGAGAAAGTGCAGGCCGACACATTCACTATGGGTAACAACACAAACATAGAGCTTGTAGAACAGAAGTGTCATCATGTTACGTTTAAGACTCTTATTGGACTCCAGACAGCCAGATAAATGAATACCTCCACAACCTTTAACTGCCTGTGACTTGTCTTTGGTTACACAGGAGACCTTTTATCAATAATCTTATTGACACAACACATGAAACTCTTTTTCATATCTCAGCTGTCCTCACTTACTGGAAAACTATGAACATCAGCCAGTAAAAAGGTTTGAAGTTAGAACGTCAGGAGAGTTTCCTACATATATGGACGTCTAAACAGAAGCAACAGTTTCTTTTTTCTTCCTTTCTTTACCTCATGTTCTTTATTCCATTCTGATTGTTTTCATTCTCTCACGTTAGGAGGAAACAGGAGGACAAACGGAGGCCAACAGAACGAGACAGATTGTAACTGTCTCAAGGACATGTCTAATTGAAATGTTTATTTTGTATATGTGTAAGTTCAACAAACGTTCAGTTCATACAGCCATTTAAAAAAGGAAAACACGTGACGTAAGATGTTATATATATATATATATATATATATTATATATATATATATGTTCATAAAAAATGTGTCTTAAAATGTCATTTTAAATAATGTCAAATGCCTAACAACAGAGTAATGGGAAATGGGTCACATGACCAGAGTTAAGATAAGGGCATAACTATGGCATTATGGGTAAGAGACAATGTGGATGCAGAGGAACAACATACAGCCCCAAACAACCGTACTGTGCACTTGGTTCAAGAGGCCTTTAATTTGTTTACTTTTGTGTCTGGTACTTGTTGGTGTGCTTTACATGGACAATACTTCATACTACTTTCTGTTTGGTTATATTATGTGATTTCTTTGCGCTTTGCTTGTGCTAACGTGTTTGGGCCTGTGTATCAGTGGACACTAGCTTGAGAGGCCTTAAAGTGAATGTGAGATTAAGGTTTAAGCTCTGTGTCTTTTATTTTCTTGTAGTTTTCATGGTGTCTGCCGACGAAGGAGAGAGTCAGATAAAATAAATCTTCAAAAGACATCTGTATGATGCGTGGCCATTATTTCTTGGGACCAGTAGCTACACAGATTTACGACTTAAAAAATAAGGTTTTCCATGAGGATTAAACACAAAAC